AAGTTCTGTAATTATAAAGGGGCTTTTTAACAGTTCAGATCCCGAGGTTACAGAGAAACAGGGATAAAACAACTCCCATTAAAGTTACTGGAAGGGGTGATGAGTAAATGTAGACTTTTTAAGTACAAAAAATAGCAGATTAATAGGACTTTAGGTTTTGTCTTCAAGCTGAAATGCATCATCTTTTTGCTGAGGTACTGAGACAAAGAAAACTGAAAAGAAATTTGGAAGGATTCACAAGGCTTGATAGATTGGAAAAATCACTTTGACAATGAGGACTTTTTCTTCCTCCTTTCCTGGTGCAGCTGGACCAAAGCTGACATCACCACACGAATTTTGGTTAAAACTACCTGAACTAAAAGTTCCTCCAGACTTGAATAACCTTATCTGGATAAGTAATGGGAAGGCTTTCCCTGGTTACAAGATGGATATGGCTTTATGTTTAAAAGATATTAATACCTGTTAACAACTTACAAATATTCATTACAGTTAATTTTTCTCACTGGTTGCAATGTGCTCATTTTCTCCCTACCACTTTGGCTATTATTATCTGGTTTAATATACAGAACATACGTCCTCTATGCTCCCTGCTTAATTATTTCCATCTCTTTTTCTGTCACATTTCTCAGAGTAATAATTATGGCAGATCATAAATCCTTTCCTACAGTGACAATAATAAAAACCTGACAGACACTAATACTTGCTTTGTAACATGGAACAAGGTGATTCACTGTAACTAAACACTTAATTTCATTCTACTTAGTTTAATTAATTCAGTTTAATTATTTAACCTATTAACCAAAGGTTAATTAAATTGAATATGAAGCACTCTCCTATCATATTTATATCACTGCTTGCTTTTTTTTCTTTGTGATGGGCCTAATGTTTCATTACCTCTCCTGCTCATTAATTTTAGTGCTGCTGCTGCTCTTTCTGGAAATGTTTGTTTTCTCCAGGGCCAAGTTAATCCATAATTCAGCACTAATGGTAAATCAGTTGGGCGTTACCCACTGAGCATGATCCAAAAGGCACCACTGGGGTCTGTGTGCAGGGCCTGGACTGCATCATCTCACCATGGTTAGCATAGCCACCACCATCCCAACTTGGGCTTTAAAAAGACATTTCCTTCTGCCTGTTTTTGATTATTTGATTTGATTTGATTTTTTTGCAATGCCATTTTCTAAAACTATGACCCTGCTCTTCTGCAGTGCTGCAAGGGGTGGGATAGAGGTGGCAGCCCTGCTTCTAAAGGCTCTTTTGAAGAGCACCTTGAAAAATTAAAGTCAGAGAATCATAGAATCATAGTCAGAAGCAAATATCCCAGTGCAAACTGGCCAAGGTGTTAAAAAACATATTAAACAAACACAAACTCAAGCCCAAGAGCTCTTGGGAGCAGCTCACTGGTGTGGGCTCAGCTGAACTGCCCCTACCTGGGGAAATCATAGAATCATAGGATTGTTTTGCTTGGAAAGGACCTTTTAAGATCACCAAGTCCAACCATTGACCAAGCACACTGCCAAGTCCACCATCAAACATGTCATGGGTACCTCCAGTTACTGCCCTTAACTGAAGGTCTACCATGGCATGCTCATCTATAAACCATTCTCTCCCCAAAAAACAATGACAGTGGTACTGCTGATAGTCTAGAAAAGCAAGGACCAGTGACTAGAAATACTGCTGTTACCTGTACACTTGATTTTCATCCAACATACTCATGGCTGGGCAGCTGAGCATCAGCATCAGTGGTCTGTGTGGGTGATGGGCAGAGCCATGGCAAACCAAGGCCACCCCAGGAAGGGATGGAATCCCTGCACAGCATCTAAACATGCCTCTTGCATCCTGGCAGATGAAGATGTGGATAGTCACAACAGACCAGGGAGTGCAGCAGCCTCCAAGTTTCCCTTCCCCTCTTTCTTAAGAGCCCTTCAACTCAAAAATCCAACTGCTGACTCTGCAAATTGGAGCTGGAGGAAGTTTGGATAAAGGAAACCTGCTGAAAGCCTCCAGAACTGGTTACAACACCAAGTTTTCTCCAAAACTTCAGAGATTTCCATTCCAGCTCTGTAGCACAGTAAACTCTGCACCCACAGCCCAAGACCCACTCCATGTCTGAACCCAGCAAGGGCACCTGCTGCAAAAGCACCCACTGGTGCTACCTGCATCCCAAGCAGCTGGAGAAGCTCAAGAATCAGACCTGCCACCTTGTGGGGAACAGTCCCTCTTTTTCCCCTCTATAGAAGACTAAACAACAAATGCCTTTCAAGTCAGCAAGACAGGAGTGATGCCTCTTCACTGATTCACTCAAGGACAGAATGAGCAGGCCTCTTGCCCTACCAGATAAGTGCAGAGCAAAGAAGCAGCACAAGGGTCATAATAAGTAGCAGAGAAATAGACAATAGGTTAAAAACTGCCTCTAACAGAATATGTACCTGGCCAATGGTGATTGGCTAATTCAGACCGTGGTGCTTTCTGGAACAATGGTCTCTGATCCATAAAAAAGAGAGTAGGATCTGCTCTCCGTGGGTCTCTGCTCGCTCTCTCTGCCTGCCTGGGACAAGACCCCACTGCAGCACCTGACACCCACAGCCCAAGACCCACTCCATGTCTGAACCCAGCAAGGGCACCTGCTGCAAAAGCACCCACTGGTGCTACCTGCATCCCAAGCAGCTGGAGAAGCTCAAGAATCAGACCTGCCACCTCCAGGCTTAGATTTAACAAGCCCCTGCTGAGCACAAAGCTGAATGAGATCACATCTGGTCCAGGGCCAGAAAATAATGGTGCAGTAATGGTTTTATTGGCTTTTTGAGAAGGAGCTGTTTGATTTCAGAGAGAGAGAGGAGAGTCAACAGCAACCTTCGCTCCTGCTAATCTCATTTCCAGAAGCATGCTGAGTGAGAAGGCACTTGGGCACCAAGCTTTGCTTGATTGCTCTCTGTTTATCTAGGATTACATTAGGAGCCCAAGACCCATCTGCAAACAGCCCATGGCAAGAACTGGGGTTTTGCAAACGGCTTCTGCTGCATCAGGTTTGCGGGAAGAGATGCTCCAGTGTTCCCAGCAAGTTGCTGGCTGGGTGGCAGCCAGTTTGCTCTGTACAAGTACTTCAGAGTTAACAGAATAAATGTGCAGAAAGGGGAAGATTTAAAGATATAAAAATAGCATGTAGATGCACAAGTTTTAGACAAGCAAATTTAAGACATACAAATGTAAGGAAGACTGAAGGCAAGCACCACAGCTAACAAGTGTTGATTAGACAATCTGGTTAATTTAAAATAATGTATTTACCTTAAGCAAAAAGAAATCAAATGCTGAAGGATGAATTTTGCCTGGGTGAAGGGCCCTTGTTAGGGGGGAACTAGAGCAGCAGTTAGGACAGTGATCTGCCACAAAATTGTTACTTTGAGAACCAACTTACCACCAAATCCGGTATAACGACTCTTTATTTCAGTGTCTACAACACAAAGAGAGGGCCTGCGTTTTGACATCAGAACCATGCAGAGCACCTACACACTGAGAACAAGATATTGAACAAGTATCTCTCTCCTGCTACATGTGGAAAATTTAGGCAGGAAGACCCGGTTTTCCTGTGCGTTCTGGTCTGTCCTTCCACAGCTCAACCAGCTGCAAGGGGCAATAATTAACCTTCATTCCCAATCAATTTCTTTGCCACTGAGCAGTATTCCACACTGCTGTAAACTGCTCAAGTGTGCTTCTGTAAACTTCATCAAGGACCCAGTTCTGCTCTCGGTTTACAAGGACAAAGTCCCAAACGTCTTAATCTACAGCAACATTTTAATCAGAGGTACTGAATTCATGGAGAGCAGAATCTGGCCCAAAGGATGAATGTCTCCTCCATACAGAGGCCCAGAAAAGGCCTTTCTTAATGTCCCAGGTAGAGGGGTGTAGAGACAACCCAAGGCTCAGAAAATTGTCATGTGCACAGAGGACAACTAGACCTGGACTATTAAAAAAACAGTGGTATAGAAAAATAAAAGGCATAAAATACTGAACCAAAAAGGTTCCAAATAAGGCATCAGCAGGTCCTGACTGGATGTGCTCCCGTTAGGTACGTCACTCTCCCAGCCAGGGTGGTGAGGAACGACGTGTTAAGATTGTAGTTCTGATCTCCATCACTAAGCACTACCAGCAACCTGAAGGGTTCAAGTTCCATTTCAAAAAAAAAAGAAAAATAAAACAAAAACCACAAAAACAAGAATTCTTTTTGGTAAGTACATCTTAGGAAATAAAATAAATGTTAAAGCAATTGGTTTAAATGACTCTTAAAAAAAAAAAAAGAAAAATACAACATTCCTTGGAAAGTAAAAATATATATATATATATAGAAATAGAATATAATCTTGTTGGTTTGTTGTGTTTTTTCTTTTAAAAAAAAGACATTCAGTATCAATGTCAGCAGATTCTGATCAGCTGCCCGTTGCTCTCCCGCGGGAACCGCTGCTCGTTAAGGCAAAACGTCGGGTTGGCACCATTACAACATCTGACTCCAAGTGGCCAAAGGAGAAGCAGAGCAGGGCAGCATCAGTGAGGCTGCTTCTCCCTCACGCTGACCGAGCCGTCCTCCATGCCAAAGTAGACCACCTCTGCCATGTTGATGAAGAGCCCCGTCTCCACCACACCTGAGGAATAAGAGTGCATGTGGTGGTTAATGCTGGAGCCACCCCCCTGCTGGAATCCTCTGCTCTCACCCTGGTTTTCTTCATTACATCAGAATTCATAAAATTATTAAGGTTGGAAGGGCCAGAATCACAGAATGTTTGGAGTTGGAAGGGACCTTAAAGATCATCAAGTTCCAACCTCCCTGCATGGGCAGGGACACCTCCCACTAGAACAAGCTGCTCAAAGTCCCATCCAACCATCCCTTGAACACCTCCAGGGATGGAGCCCCCACAACATCCCTGGGCAGCCTGTTCCAGTGTCTCACCATCCTCACACTGAAGAATTTACACCTGATCTCTAACCTAAATTTCTCTTCTTTCAGTTTAAAGAAAAATACAACATTCCTGGAAAGTAAAAATATATATATATATATAGAAATAGAATATAATCTTGTTGGTTTGTTGTGTTTTTTCTTTTAAAAAAAAGACATTCAGTATCAATGTCAGCAGATTCTGATCAGCTGCCCGTCGCTCTCCCGCGGGAACCGCTGCTCGTTAAGGCAAAACGTCGGGTTGGCACCATTACAACATCTGACTCCAAGTGGCCAAAGGAGAAGCAGAGCAGGGCAGCATCAGTGAGGCTGCTTCTCCCTCACGCTGACCGAGCCGTCCTCCATGCCAAAGTAGACCACCTCTGCCATGTTGATGAAGAGCCCCGTCTCCACCACACCTGAGGAATAAGAGTGCATGTGGTGGTTAATGCTGGAGCCACCCCCCTGCTGGAATCCTCTGCTCTCACCCTGGTTTTCTTCATTACATCAGAATTCATAAAATTATTAAGGTTGGAAGGGCCAGAATCACAGAATGTTTGGAGTTGGAAGGGACCTTAAAGATCATCAAGTTCCAACCTCCCTGCATGGGCAGGGACACCTCCCACTAGAACAAGCTGCTCAAAGTCCCATCCAACCATCCCCTGAACACCTCCAGGGATGGAGCCCCCACAATATCCCTGGGCAGCCTGTTCCAGTGTCTCACCATCCTCACACTGAAGAATTTACACCTGATCTCTAACCTAAATTTCTCTTCTTTCAGTTTAAAACCACTACCCCTCGTCCTCTCACTGCAAGCCTCTGTAAAAAGCCCCTCCCCAGGTTTTCTGTAGCCCCTTCAGGTACTGGAAGGCCACTATGAGGTCCCCCCAGAGCCTTCTCTTCTTCAGGCTGAACAACCCCAACTCCCTCAACCTGTCCTCATAAGAGAGGTGCTCCAGCCCTCAGATCATTTTTGTGGACCTTCTCTGGACACGTTCCAACAGCTCCACATCTTTCTTGTGATGAGGGCCCCAAAACTGTACACAGCATTTCAGGTGAGGTCTCACCAGGGCAGAGTAAAGGGGCAGAATCACCTCCCTGGCCCTGCTGGCCACATTTCTTTTGATGCAGCCCAGGATGCACTAATGGCTTCACCAGATCTTGAGAGAGAGGTGTCCAACCTGGGTGATGTTGCATCAGCTGTATAGGAAGCCACTGGGAAGTCTTCTCTGTGTGGCCACCACCAGAGGAAACTCCCTCCAGAGAGTGAAAAACAACTCCCAAAGCTCCCCCCGATGTTCACACCACCCTAGCCACCACCTTTACACTAATACAAGGCTCTGGGGAGACCTCATAGCAACATACCAGTACCTGAACGGGGGCCTACAGGAAAGCTGGGGAGGGAATTTTTACTCGGGCATGTAGTGAGGAGTAATGGCTTTAAACTGGAAGAGGGGAGATTTAGACAAGACATTAAAAGGAAATTCTTTAGTGTGAGGGTGGTGAGACACTGGACCAGCTTGCCCAGGAAAGTTGTGGCTGGCCCCTCCCTGGAAGTATTGAAGGGCAGGTTGGATAGGGCTTGGAGCAACCTGGTCTAGTGGGAGGTGTCCCTGCCCATGCAGGGGGTTGGAACCAGATGATCTTTAAAGTCCTTTCCAACCCAAACCATTCTATCTATGGTTATATGATTTTCAGTCACCTTAAAACCTAAAGGGAGCAAGATGAAGGTTCACACAGCCACGGGCTTACTCACTTTGTATTTAAACACATCTGAAAAAATAATCCTGCAAGAGAACACATAGATAACACTTATTCAAGTGTTCAGACTCAGCCTATCTGATGCTTCCCCTGCAATTTGTAGCCTGTTTGAAAATGTCCTTTTGGTTGTATTTAATTATGGGGTTCTTTCAGTTTCACAGTGATCACTGAGCCACATACAGAGGCTAGGAAGGTGGAAAGAAATGCAGGACAAGGGCTACCACAAGCACGAGGCTGCCAAAGCCCTGCTGTCACCACTGTACTCAGGGCTTAACAGTTCTGTTCATCCATTGTTGGCCAGGGAAGGTGCTCCTCTCCTTAGCAAGCCCATTTCTGGGCAGCAAATGGTGCTGAGACCATCTCCATACCAACACAATGGAGCAGGTACCCTCATTTACCCCTTCTTTTCTCCACCAAAAGAGATACAAGGAGGAAGTCCTGGCAGAGAGGTTGTTTTGTTTGCCAACAGGGTAACTGGGCACTGTTTCTCTCTTGCACAGAAACAGCTCTAATGATACAGACATTTGTATCGCCATGGGCAGCAACTGCATTAGGATACACAGCAATGCATCACTAGACCAGTACTTGTCACCCGTTCATTTACATTGGTCACTGGTTCATTAACATCAGTTCCCGCCAAAGGTTTGAACCTGCCATCTAGTGCTGGCTGTGAGCAAGTGCCAGGTAATTATTCAGACAAAGACACCAGGAGAAGCCAAGGCAGAGGTAGCATCCTAGCAGTTTAGTCCCGGAGCAGGAAAAACAGAAAATGGGTATATTTTCAGTAAGTCAGCCTTATAAGCACTACTGAGGGAAGCAAAGCCACCAAAAAGAACTAGAAGTTACTGGTGACTCTTCACCAAGTCTACACCCGTGGCTTCTGCCTGCTCTTGTGTTCCAATCATGGTGCAGCTTGTGATGGACTTCAGGGGCAGGCAGGTATCTGGGATAAACTCAAAGACACAAGATACTACAACATGTATTCAAAAGCTGACCAGATTCAAGAGCAGACTTTGCCAAGACAACCAGAAAGGTATCTAGATGTGACTGAACCAGACTTTATCTACTGCTTCACTGATGTCCAAAAGTGTCGCTGCCCCTGGGCAGATGTGGATCATCCAGAAGCAGCTCTGGCCTGGGCAGCAGGTCCCATGCAAGGCAGGAGCCCTTGCAGAGAGGCCGTTTCATTTGCAAATAGTGAGATCAGCCACTGCATCTCTTCTTGGACAGCAACAGCTACAGCAACAGCCAGGACTGCACAATGGTAATGGGATGCAGAGCTGTGAGCAGCTAGTGGAAAATACTGTAACTCAGTGAGAACACTCACTCGAGTCCAGCAGTGTTTCCATTAAATGCCCCTCTCTAGATGGGCACAGGGAGAGTAAGGAATAGCACAGGACTGGCATACCTAATGGAAAACAGTGTCAGAAGTTACCCAGCATTGCCCCAGGTTTTCACCACCATGTGAGAATGCCACTTGGGCACTGCTGTACTAATTCAGCCAAGAGATATCTCAGATAGAAGCAAATGTATGGACCCATAAGAGGGCAGGAAACACACACGCTGCCTCCTATACAGAGGAGAGCTCCCACAGCCAAGGTTGTCTTGCATGGATCAAGCCTTAGCTGGCCTGTTCTATTTTTAAAAAGAGAATCACAGACATTACCTGGTATCATTTTTATAGCTGTGTTCACTTCATTCCATTCATGAACCCTGTCAAACTTCCAGTCCAGGATGAAGTTCCCATTGTCTGTCACCACGGGGCCCTGGGAAACAAACCCATTTGTCAGCACTGTGAGCACCTTGTGTACCAAGCACAGCTGGGGACTGTGACAGTCCCTCCAGGGAAGCAGCTGTCCCCTCTGCAACAGGTTATAGTCCCTCATTCAAGTAAATCAGGGCATTCCACAATAAGCCTGTAAGTAAAACCATCACCCCAAGGCAACTTCCCATTCCTCGTTCTCCTGCCATAATCATGCAGAAGCTGGAAACAATGATACAATCTTGTCATTGCAAGAGGGAATCCTTCTCACCAGAGTCAAGCTACTCTAATGTCCTAAAAAGGCTATTACAGGCAATTGAAGCCAAAGTAAGACCCCTCTACACCACTAATAAGAATGTGCTGCTGAATGCCATAGGGAAGTTTTGAAAAACTGCTGGACTCCAGCACCCCATACATGCCCAGCATTCTCTCAAGCCCAACAGAAGGAGCAATCAGGGCCTTTCAACAGAGCAGTCAGCCTGGGCTGTGGACAAGATGTTTTAGCAGCACTGAAGAGTGTGTGCAAGCACAAGTGCCAGGAGGAACCAGCATCCTCCAAGGACATGGCTCATGCTGGAGCAGCACTGATGATCATTGCTAAAGTGAGGCTGGTCTCAAGTTCACAGAGAACAACTGGTTTGCTCTTCCCAGGCACCCAAACGAAGCCCTTACAGCCTCTTGGAATTAGACACATTCTATTGAGCCCTGGGCCATTAACTCCAGTATTACTGCAACCATCTCTCCTTTTCCCAGCCACGCAATGTGGGCTGGAGAAGCCCCGTTGCCCAAGTCAACACAGGACAGCAGTAGTGGAGACAAAGCAGCTTCAGTTGTCATTTAGTCTGTCTCTATGTGGTACAGAGGAGCCTGGGATGGATTGTGAGCTGCTCCACAGCTCCAGACCCTGTTTGGCAACACATATAGCACTCCAGCTCCCAAACTTCCCCACATAGGAGCACATTAGACTTAGGCTAGTGATCCCTCCTCTCCCTGCTTTAGGAGACACAAGCCAGAGAGGCTTTCCACGAGCAGCCCGCACACCTCACCAGGCAGTTCATTAACCAAAGTATAATTAGGAGGAATTACACAAGATGCCACTTGTGGGAGTGCAAGCCCAGGTTTAATTAGATGAAAGGGCAGACCTCTGGGTCTCCATTTTACCCACGTTCTGGTGGCTCCTCTGGGGAGGAGAGGCTGATGAGAGACACTTACTGCTTTGCTGACCGCCATCCGCAGCTCCACCGCGCCTCCGAAGTTCTTGGTCAGGGCTCTGCTGACAGGGACATAAGCCATGGGGATGACTTCGATAGGAATTCCCTTCTTCCACTGCTCCCCCAGGCTCCTCGATTTCTTCCTGAGGGCACAGTTGGAGGTGGGATTAGTGTCAGACACTGCATTGCTAACACCATTAGCACAACCAACTTAGCACATCATCTCCTGCAAGCCCCTCAGGCATAAGACCCTGGAGGGCAAAGCAGCCAGTTCACATGTGCAGGAAGAACACATTTAATGCAGGATGCTCTATCCATTCATAAGCCCTGTTTGGACACTTTTTAGACAAGCAGGACACAAGCTTTTTTTCCTAGAGCCCCGTGGCTGTGTGTACAGAAAGGGAAATTTTATTTTATGCTGACAATCACTCAAATAACAGAGCAGCCACTTCCCCACAAGCTCTGCTGACTCCTAAACAGGTTTGCTGAGTAATAAAGAAAGAAAAACAGCTAAATTGAATTGCTGAAGCAATTGCTGAAGCACGGGGGTTAAATTAAATTGCTGAAGCACTGGCGTTCAGGCTATTCCACCTATTCCTGCTCCCCTGACCCACTGGGAGAACACCAATGGACTCATACAGGATTACCTGAAACCTCCCATGGGACAGAGATGTATAATGAATAGCAGTATTTTTACCTGTAATCAGCAATAACGATGAAGCATTTTGCATATCCTGCAACGATCTTCTCCTGCGTCAGGCAACCCCTGCAAGGGGTGAAAAAAAGTAACATAAAAATCAGGAAACTCAGTGTGCCTGACAGTCCTAAAGTCTAGTCCTCTCCACCATGTTCTTGATGTTGTCAGGGTCCCATGTCAGGTCTCTGTCCCCGGCCCCATCAGTTTATTCTCCTCATCCCTCACACTCTTGGTCAGGAGCCATCTCCTACTGCAAGTGCACACACAGCCCTGCCCAAGATCCCACCAACCTCTCCAGCCCACCCCAGAGACATCTGCAGCCAGAAAAGGATGCTCAGAAGCCACCTGAGCTGCACACAGATGGACAGCAAGGCTCACCCGCCACCTTTGATAAGGTTGAGGTCAGAGTCCACTTCATCCGCTCCATCAATGGCTACATCGAGCTGCAGGAAGAGAAGAAACTTGGTGTGGAAACCCCTCCTGTGTGTAGCATCAAGGAGCTGCTCTTGACACAGCTCAGGAGGGTGTCAGGTCCTAAGCAGAAACCAGAAATGCCACTACAACTGGACTGCAGACACCAGCCTGACCAGAGACAAGCATCTGATCAGCCACCCAAGGATACCAGCCCTAGCTAAACCACAGACACGTGAGGAGAAAAAAAGAACAACTGCTGGCCTTCAAGGCACATCATTGCAGCCTCTAGGGTTGTCAGCTAAAGTTTGGGGGTTCCTGGGGAAAATCCTGGTCACAACACTTCAGCAAAGCCAAATCCCCATCTCAGGCCAGCAAGCCTCAACCTGGCAGAGGTGCCAAACACCTGGAGGAAACACAACTTGGGAGCCTATTTGCCATCTAAAGGGAGAAGCACTAGGACAAGACTAAGGCTTAAAAACGTTAAGAGGAAGGTCAGGTGAGGTCTCACCCCCACAGACCCACCTACCTCGGGATGCCGGTCCAAGTCACTTAGCGTTAAGCCGTTCTGCAGGATCAGCTGGCGGGCCTGGGCAGCAAGGAGACAGCAAACACCATTTACAGGCAGCAGGAAAGGGAAACGGACTCCTGGTGTCATTCCCCTGGCTGTGGCAAGGATGGAGCCTCCCTGGGAAGCTCCACTGCTCCACCTGAGCTGGTGGAGAAGCTGCAGCCATCCGCAGAAACACACGGCAAGGAGAGAATGATGCTTCCAGACCAGATTGTTTTAAACAAGAGGAAGCCCTGCTGTGGATTTCAACTAAAGTGCTGCAACAGGACTCCTGGGTGCAGGTCTCTCCATACTAAATAGCAGGAGGCCCCATCAGCTTGGTGGGAATGTCTTATATCTAAGGATTAGAGCAGATCTAGGATTTTGGAGTCCTGTGTTGTTTCAGCTTGGACATCATTCTCCCTCACACCCATCCAGCCCCTCTGATGTCCTTCATCTGAAAAATGGGAGAAAGAAAATCGAGTATTTACACCAGAGCAAGGCAGGACTAACCATGAAGATAGTTTTCATACTGAAAATTTTTAAAAAGCTAAAAAGAAAGGCACAATTCATGGGAAAAGTGCAGGAAGCTGAAACAGCTGTTTGGTGGCTCGGATCTTTTACTGAAGTGGCCGAGTATTTCCCTCTAGTGGCAATACAACACAGAGCACACAGGGTTACCCTCCCTCTGATGATCAAGTGGAACATCCCCCTTAATGAGGAAAGGCTGAGGGAGCTGAGTCTCTTTAGCTTGGAGAAGAGGAGACTGAGGGGTGACTTCATCAATGTTTACAAATATGTAAAGGGTGAGTGTCAGGAGGACAGAGACAGGCTTTTTTTCAGTGGTGTCCAGTGACAGGACAAGGAGCAGTGGGTGCAAACTGGAGCATGGGAGGTTCTACGTAAACATCAGAAAAAACTTCTTTACTGTGAGAGTGAGAGAGCCCTGGGACAGGCTACCCAGAGAGGTTGTGGAGTCTCCTTCTCTGGAGACATTCAAACCTGGCTGGACACGTTCCTGTGTGATGTGCTCTGGGTGATCCTGCTCTGGCAAGGGGGTTGGACTCAATGATCTTTGCAGGTCCCTTCCAACCCCTAAGATTCTGTGATTCTGTTATTTCGTCTGTCTATTTTAACGCAAGTTCAAGCTTGGTGAACCTTGAATTGGTTGAATTTTCTGTGTTAGAAATCATCACCAGAGTGAGAGTCCCCTTTGCACAGACTCTCCTTGAGTCTGAACTTCCTACCATGCTGTAACTATTCCAAGAATCCCCAGTGCAATAGCCTGGATTGACTGATTCCCTTGAATTTTACCCACTAACAAAGTGCATCAGTCACATGTATTTGCATCTCAGAAACATTGAATACTTAGCAGGAGGTACTCCTGGCAAGGAGATATTGAGTAATTTATTGTGGCATTTCATAGCATGCAGTTTTAACACCCAGGGGCTGCAGACTCTTGATCTGTGCACTAGGATTGCCCTAAGGACTCACTAAAATAAAAAAAAATAGTAAAAATCAGTGGGTTTACATTAATTACATGGAGTCCACGTAAAGAGATTTCAGGGCCCTGGGAATCAAAAGCACTGAAAAAAACAGCGTTGCACATGCAGGCCAGACCCTGAACAGGCTGAAGAGTCAGCAGTGTGGAAAGGAGGTGGCTCTCTCCAGGCTCCCTGCTTGCAAGGCGAGGGGAGCAGACCAGCAGGAACCAAAAGCAGAGCTCCCCGAGGGGGGGAGAAGCGTTGCCAAGGGCACAGCTCTTGCCAAGGTGGGTCTTGGTGCTCTCGGCACATGGCCGGGTGAAAAGAAACCACACAGAAGCCAAGGGACAAATACTTACCCTGGCTCTAGCTTTACTGATGGTGATGGAATAACCCAACCTGACAACAGGGAAGGGAGGAGAAAAAAAAGCTCACTGAAACCATTTCTTCCTTGCCAGTGACCTCAGGCAGCCATTTACACCTGCACGTAGCAAAAATAAGATGCTGTTTTGCCGACCTGGGAGTGTTTCTGGGGTCTAAGAGACTGCCCCTTATCTGGGGGATTTTGGTTTATCCAGTTGTATGATCTGCCTCTTCCCTTTAACAACAACCTTTCTGTTTTACTGGTAAGAAACTCTGTAGCATTACATGAACCATCCCAACATTTCAAGGCAGGACAGGCTCCAGTTGATGTCCACCATGAGTTTTATCACTATTTTTTTTAAGGCCTAATGACCAAACTTAAGATTTTTCCTAGGTTCAAATGGTATCTCAGGATGGGGATCGTTTCAGACAGACGCACTACAGTCTACATATATATTCTTCTACAGAAGTACTGATAGAGGTTAAAAAAGAAAAGAAAAATTATCTGGTTTTCACTTTTTGCCCTTTGCAGCAGTTTATATTATACCCCAGTTGACAAGTAGTTGTTTTCAACAGCTGGGAAAAGAAAGAGCCCACACTCACACTTAACAGGGTAAGAGGATGTTCTGCTTTTATAAGACTTTAGGATAATTTAGGTTGGTCTACTATCCAACCTCCAGCTCAGAGTAGGGTCAGCTACCAGGTTGCTCAGGACTTCACCTATTCAGGTCTTGAAAACCTCAAATGACAGACTCCACAGAGCCCCCTGGGCAGGCTGACTCACAGCTTGCTTCTCCTCATGGTAAAAAAGTTGTGACAGAAGTATAATCCCAAGGTCCACACTGGGACTGTGAGAAGGACACATGTCCAATTCCCAGACAAGAGGATTGCCACCCAGCCTCAAAAAACCCACAAGTTGTCCCTGTCTCTGCAGACTGGGAATGTCACCTCTCCCTCCTCAAAGGAGACAAGGTGACAGGTGCTCCCCTGCATCATGTTCCCACCTCGAGCAATACAGGCAGAGAGACCTAAGCCAGTTGCCTGAAGGCACAGAAGCAGCTCAGAAGCTTCTCCAGCAGCTCTCCATCTCACCATCAAGACATGTTCTCCCTCTCCCAGCAAACTCCTCAAGAGCTAGCTTGCTATGAGCCCTGCAAAAGCTGCGTAGCAAAGGAAGATTGAAGCTGATTTCTCTTCTGCGATTTCTTACAAAAGCCATTTGATGCATTTCAAGTTTCTCCTGAGAACACCATGAGCTTCCTATTACTGCTTGCAGTATGCTTTCTGCAGCTTTCAGGGCTTGAATGAAAAGAGACTAAGTATCTCCAGTGAGTTTTGCATTATGACTCTGGTTCACCACTGAACATCATTTTTCTGCAAGCAGGATCCAGAGCAAACCACACACCAATGCTGACATAACCAGCATGACCACACTGGTTCCAAACACACCTCCCAGCACCACAGCATCCCTGCAGCTTGGGTTAGGGTAACACAGCTGGCTCCATGAGGTCCATCCACAGGCTGCATCATGCCTGCTTTCACTCATGCCTTTGGTTAACTCACACCACAGAGAGCCAGTCCAGAGAGCAGTGTGGTTGCCTCCCACAGCCAAAGGGAAGACTCCCTGTGTGAGTGTTTGGACTAACAGAAAGCAAAGGAAGAAAGCACTTACCTGAAAAGATGTAGGGATGCAGACAATTGTCAGGTTCTCCTGTTTAACCCGCTCAGCTGTAGGTAAAAAAGCAGAAGCCTCAGTCTGTTGCAGGAGGAAATAAAACTACACCAGCTTTAATTTTAAGAAATCTCAGTTCAGAACAACACCTTTGAATCACTGCAATTACTTGCTTGGCTTGCAAATAATTCAGTCATGCTCAAAATGCAAACAGGTAACACCCTGCATAGGCTAAGGCTCAGTTTCTGTAGTCAGGAATGTTTGAACACCCACCCTGGCTCAGCCCAAGACATCATGAGCCATTAACCTTTGAGTCTCCAGCAGCAGAGGAGCCTCGTCAGCAAATTGTCACCTGGGAAATGAGCCCCACTCCCCTCTCTCACTCCATTAGACAGGTTTTCTGTGCTCCTTGTAAACAGACAGCTCCAGCAGCTGTCTGAAAGGTTTTCTGGCTTGTTGCCTTGGGGACATCACATTCATTTATTATAGAACATTAAAATATATAGCAGGGAAAGGACTAATAAAATACAGTATTACATTAAATGGAGGGAAATATTTCCTCCCCGGGTTAACCTCAAATGACTAAATTCTATTACTAAGATATCATTATGGACAAAATGTTATTTTAGCAATTACAATAGATAGGCATAAGCCAACAGCCCAAGACTCAGCAAAAGCTTTTCCACCACAGCAGCACGTGGGCTACGTGCTTCAAGGTAACACTGCTGCTGGAAGGACTGAATCACAGAATCACCAAGGCTGGAAAAGACCTTTAAGATCATCAAGTCCAGCCTCTGACCAACACCACCAGATCAGCTAGACCATGGCACTAAGTGCCACATCCAGCCTTTCCTTGAACACATCCAGGGATGGTGCCTCCACCACTTCCCTGGGCAGTCCATTCCAATGTCTAATCACCCTCTCTGTGAGGAAGTGCTTCCTAATATCCAACCTAAACCTCCCCTGGTGCAGCTTGAGGCCGTGCCCTCTTGTCTTGTCACTAATTGCCTGAATGCAATACATGGGGCTGTATGTTCCAGCCCACACCCCAGCGCTAATGCATTCAGTGGACATCAAAAGTCAGACTTTGCAGCCTGGGACAAGTAATGCACTTTAAATACTATATCCATTTAGAGACTGATTCTGTGTTAGAGTTGGGAGTGGTTGTACTACTGAGCCAAACCCTGAAAGCTGAACCACAGCTCCCAAACCATCTTCCAGATAAATAAGTGTACTACACACGCAGTGTGGGGTGAGGTGGGTGCCAAGGAGCAGGCACAGCACCACCTCTGCTGTATCTCCAGGAAGCAAAGCCCTTGCTGTGCTCAGACCTCAGCCTTGCTCATCCGAAGTGGGCTGGGGGACATCTGAGCAAGACCCCCCCACCAAATGACAGGGATGATCCTGCACTCCCAACCCATCACGGCACCCACAGTTGCTCTGTTTTGCATCCAAGGAGAGTCAAGCAGGACGAGGTACAGCACCTCCACAGGCAGATCTGCCCTAGGGCTGAGAGTGCCCTTCAAAGGACACTAAACCTCTGTGCCCTCTGTAATGAGGTGTGAGGGTAATTACCCTCAGGTTTACTTTACAAAATTGCATTTGCCTCACTTGAATATTTTGCTGAAATTTCCTGAATCACACCTTGTGCAAACTTGTACCTGGGGCAAGCAGATAAACCTAGCTGTAGGGTATATTAAAAAAAAAAAAAAGACCTACACCAAAAAAGCAGCAGGA